CTTGTCTCTGCTTGCTGCGTGTGAAGCACCAAGATTGAACCAAGGGGGTGTACCTCTTTCTCTCTGGTCCGTGATGCTGACTCCTAGTCTCACTTGTTACCTCGCATAGCGCGCAGAGGGAGCGGAGGACTCCAGAATATCTGTGCTTGATTTCGAACCCCTCGGGGCCAGTTTATTTGAGTGTACCTTTTTTAGGGTAAAGTGACCACGGGAATCGACCGCGTCGAGTTTTGGATCAGTACGGACATATGAAGGTACTGGGTAGAGAGAGATCGGAACGGTTTTTAATGTGAAGACGTGAAGACAACAACAACAGCAACAGCCATCAGACCGGAAAGGCCACAAGTTCAAGAACCAAAACGATGCATGCAGCGTATCTGTCTGCCGGTCGGTCTGGTTGTTGTCTGGTCGTCGTCTGGTCGTCTGGTCAGTCGGTCAGTACCGCGAACCAGAAGTCAGCTACTGTAGCTGCGCAACTCCCGGGGAACCCGGTATCTGTCCCCCCCCGGCAGTTGGACAAGCCGCCCGTCTCGTCCGCTACCGCTACCCGGTGGGCTAAGAGTGGGGCAAGACGAAGGCACACAACCAGTGGGGGCTGCAACGCCAGAGCTGTTCTGCTGTACACCGCCACTTCGCGGAACAAACTCCACCTCCGTCCCCAAACCCGTGAGAATTAAGGAATAAAAACACACACAGAAAGACTACCCATTCGAGATATACCCACAGTCGAAGAGAATGCTAGGAGAGAGACGTCTGCGTGCGACACAGCAGATGACGACCGTTAGGCGGACATGCACCCGCAATGCGGTCTGTTGCTTCCTTTGTGTCTATCCACCGTAACATGGGGTAACGTTGTTGTGCGGGGTGCGCACCAACCTCTGCTATGCTGTCTTTCTCTTGGAACAGCTGAACAGCTGCAGTTGTTCCTTCTAGCGGAGGAATGCGCTGGGCTGTGGGGTCTCCGATGTCGACTGGTCTATGTAGAATAAGCTACAGCAGTACTGCTGCTTTAACGCCTTCCGCATTCCTGCGACGAAGACAGGCACGTGCAGGAGTGGACCTGTAGTTTGTGTTCTGCTAGTTGTGGCAAGTGAAAACGACCACAAACCCATTAGCCAAACAATCAACCGCTCATTGGCCGGCATTATCGAGTGCTTCCGTTCGACACACCGCAACCTTGGTACCAACATCAACTTGTCACGGGTTCATATAACAAGCCATTCATGTGCATAACTTAAACCGCATTACGTCTCAACAACATGCCTTTCGAGAAAATACCGAACCGACTTGACGTTGGCTTGCCGGCGTACCTACAAAGACGGGCGACTTTGTTCGTTTACCTTTGTACCGTTGCGCAACAACATGCACGTCATGTAAGCACCACTGCTGCACTAAGTTCTTTTCCGCGGAGTCGCAGCTGACGAACCTTGCATCCCTCCCTGCTCCTTCTTTCGCGCACGGCCGCACCCATCTCTACCTCCTGCTCCACCCAGCAGCACAAGGCCGCCACAGCGATGGCGGCGGCAATGCCGTGTGGCTGTAGAAACCCGGTTACCCCGGCGACGACGGCAGAAAAAACGCCGCATCCGACAGGGAAGCAGCACCGGCGGAGGCGTTGTCCGCGAACGGGGTTCAAAGACGAGGAGCGAGGTCGGAGGGGGCGGCACCGGCGGGCACCGGCCGGGCGGGGTGACGGGGCGCAAGCGGCTACAGATTTGGACGTTCGCAGGGGCCACCGCGGAGCGCGCATCCGCAGCAGAGGCTATGGCACCGGCGGCGCCAGCCCAGGCAACGCCAGGAGCGACGGGAGACAAGAAAGAGCAAGCAGAAGCGTAGGAGATAAGGACGGTGGGGGCGCCACCGGGCCCCGGGCACCGCTCCTGATTTCGAATCCTGGGGGACGCCGAAGAGCTTGTTGTGCTGGTGGCAAAAGCCCTTCTTCTGCGGCTGAATCGTTGCTTTCCAAGGGAGCCACGGCCGTGGTGATGGGCCTGCTGGCTGTTGCGTCTGCGCAAGAGGAAACTACCTACCCCGCTGCCGCGGTGGGGGTGATGGTGCCCCTGACCCCCGCGGGGCTGCAGTACACGGCAAACGTGACGGTTGCCTCCGGCAACTATTCGTCGGTGAGACATGCAAGGCTCCGGGGTGTCAGAAACGCCTTACTTGCGAAATATCAAGCGGTTTATATGTGTTGTCGGATAGCACTGCTGTTGTAGGGTAATACGAGGGCACACCAGTTGAACAATGTTCGCGCTATTTAGCGATGGATGGAGCAACCTTATCGTCGCCTTCTGCCGCTGCAACCATTGAGCTGCATCATTTTACCGGCGAGTGTTTCGTCGGGGTTTTGAGAATGTCCTAGAAGGCTTCTGGGGCTGGCCGAACAGGCCTGGTGTCTACTCTCTTGTGACCCTCAGGCGGCGCAAGATAGAAACGGCTACACTGGTTCGAAGCTACATGTCATTCGTCATGGCTAGGAACGTTGTTCACCGTGCCTATACTTCAACCCAAACAGAAGCTGCTGGGCCCAAATCGGCGCGAGAGTAGACACACAAGTATCGAGGCTAGCAAGAGAGAACGATCGACACCAGAACTACTCCACCCTCCGGGAATTTCGGCGACTGTGTCTGGTGCGTTTTTTTTCCCTCGAGAACCGGACTCGAACGATGTGTTTTGTACTTCCAAAAATGGAGTGTTCAGTCTAGTTGTTCTCCTCTACAGGGCGCCGTTGTCTTGGTCATGTTTGTCACCGCCGTCGCCGTTGCAACGCCTGCGACGGACACGCGGGCGCGTGCTTACACGCAGGGGGCGAACTTCCGCAGCGCGGACTACAGATGCAGCACGTTTTGCGTTTTTCGGTCCCTTCAAGGCCGGCGCCCCTTGTAAAGTGTCGGCCTGCTGAATCTGACAGCGCAGTGGATCGATGCTCGCTACACAAAGATCCACAGGCACGGCAACACGAAACTAACGACATCAATTACCGCGTCCTTAACCCCCCCCCCCCCCACACGTATACACGCATCAAACTGACGGTTTTGAAGAGCGTAATCGTACCGCCGCTGGAGTACGCCGGAGAAGTATGGGAAGGAAATAAGAAGGTAGTGAAAGAACTCGAGGCGGCGCAGATGAAAGCAGCGAAAATCATCCTAGGATGCTCCAAGCGCACAAGTAATGCAGCAGTCGGGGCAGAATTGGGGATCCAATCCCTACGGTCGGGAAGAGACGTAAGGAAGCTGACATGGCAGTACCGCATGTGCGGGATGGGAGAGGAGAGGTTGCCGAGAATAGTATGGGAGGCGAAGTGGGCAAACAAAAAGAGGGGTAGACAACCCACGGAATGGGTCAAGGTTGTAGAGGACGTATGGAAGGGATTGGACATCGACGAAGATGAAACGCTGGAAACGGAGGGTCTACAGGGGTTCAAGAAGAAGATATCTGTTGCTTGTGCCGAGAGAGAAGAACAGAATCTAAGGAAAGGAACCAAGGATAAGGAGGGTCTAGAAGTGTACGGAATGTTGAAAGAAGGAATAGGGTTCAAGGATTACCTACATGGACCAATGGATGCAGGGACAAAGCTTAAGGTCAAATTCAGGACCGGGGACATTGGCCTTCGCGAACGTCGACGAAGACATAGGACGGTAGACGACGAAGACGACAAGTTCAAATGCGATTGCGGCTTCGAATGCGAAGACAGTGTTCATGTAGTCGCGGAATGTCCGTGGTACGAAAAGGAGAGGGAAGTGTACATGACTGAGCTGGGAAGAATACAAGGGACGTACAGGGAGATGTTTGAGGCATGGAATAGAGAGGAGAGGACGGTAGCGGTACTGGGGAGTAGAAAGTGGTTTGAAAAAGCGGGAAGTGACATCGGTAGGATAGACAGAATAGGGAAGACATTTTTGAGCCACCTTTGGCAAAGTAGGAAGGAACGATTGACCATCGGTGATCGGTCCTGTGGGAACAATGCTCCGTCCTCTCGAGGACGCGTGGTCAATGGTCTAACCGCTAAGGCA